TTGTTATCCCATGAGATTATCTCTCCTGAGCAGAATGTCATTCCCAATTGTATTAGCGCTGAACAGTGTTCAATGTAGTGAGTGGAAGGAAGTTAACACATATCTTTAGAGTCTTAATTGTACTTGACAATTTGAACATCAGTTTTATTCATGCAGTTTTCTGACAAAAATTTGTCACCCACAAATGCTAAATGCGAAAATCTTCATCAATACTTGGATGAGCCAAAATCCAATCAGAAGGTATTTGATACAGACAAATGCTAGCTATTGAAAGAGGAAAAGTAACTAAAAGGGAGAATAGCACAAAGAAAAATGGAAAAAGTAGAAAAGAAGCACAAGAAATTTAAATGAAACATGACTAATGAGTTGAACTAAAGAAAATCAAGTTGAAATTAGTAAATCCCTTTTTTTCCTACAATGAAACAAATACAAGAGTTACCCTGGCTATGGTCATATTAAGGTGACTTTTCTTGTTTGTTAAAGGATCCCCACCAGTAAGAGTGAAGATTCTCTTTTGTAAGACTATTATTATGACGAATTGTGCCACTACCGGGCTTGTAACGAAGTACACAATAAAATAAAGATAATACAAGCAAATGCAAACTTGTGCTTCTGGATTACTCTAGGAAAAAAGATTTGCATACAACACTTTATCACTAAATACTGTGAAAAGGCAACTCATAGAATAAGACAGAATATAACTTATATGATAAAGTAAATAAATAAGAAATTAATGTTTTTATTTATATTGTTTGCTTAAAAAATGTTATCCGCATATCAACGTTGGCATTTAATTCTAAAAGAATAGGAGAAAAACAGAAAATCCTTGTGTTAGAGATAATCATTTCCTTACATTAAGGAAATAATTCTTCACTGCAAAGTCAATTCAATGAGACAGTGTTTTAGATAAATGAATGGGGTAGATATATCTTAGTATCTTGGGTGCTAAAATTTTTGGAATTACTGCTGTATTGTTCTAACAGGGAGAGTTCATATAATGTAATTATTATAATAAAATTTTAATAGGCATTGAGAGATCAATAATTAGTACTTTCAACTATTCCTTCTTCCCATTCTCATATAAGCTATGCGAGTTATCAACTATTAATAAGCTGCTGCTATCACGCGGCTTGAAGAAAGTTGTACTGTTCCTGCCTGACAAAGCCCGAAATTCTGCACATTCTTTGTTATCATTATTAGTAGTGGTGGTGGTGGTGGTGGTGGTATTAGTAGTAGTATTGCTGTTATTTTATTAAATTTCATACAATATACTTTGATCATCTTTAGACTCCCTCCCCTATCTTCACCCCTCTTATGCCTCCCTGCCAGATTTCCTGTCAAATTTGTGTACCCAAATATCCTTTGGTGTGGGTCGAAACACGGAAGCCTGTTTAACCTATCTAACATCACACCCTTAAAGAAAAGCAATGCTCCCTCCCCAGCAGTTATGTTACCAGTAGTTTCTCAGCTAAGGTCAGGGCTTCTTAGCCACATCCCCACCTCTAGTTTCACATTTTTGTCTGGTTGAACTTGAATGGATCTTGTGCCTGCTCTTGCCATTACAGTAAATTCATATGAGCAACGTCCCAGCTGTCTGGAAAACCTTGTTTTCTTGGGGTCACCTGCCCTCTCTGGCTCTTTGTACTCCCTCTTCCACAATGGCCTCAGATCCTTGGATGGCAGATATAAGTGTCCCATTCAGGAATAAGCACTCTGCGGTCTCTTATTCTCTGAACTTCGTCCAGTTACGACTTTCTGGGTTAATCAACGTGTTGCATGAAGAAAGTTTTCTGGTGAGAGGTGAAAGATGCACTAATATTCTCTTTGCTCCCCTGTTCCACTATGTTCCTGAACCTTAGGTGTAGAGGTTGCATTGTAGATTTCACCCAGAGCAGGGTACCTCACAAAATTCTTAATTTCTGTTATATACTTTTATGGAACCTATTATCTTACATGTCCTCCCAGAAAAATATTAATTTTAGAAGGAAAATAAGAAATTGTCCAGCTCAATCTTTAACCAATGTAAATATAATTTATATTAATATATGCCACATATGTAAGTAATAAGTAGAAATTAAGTCTAAAATAATCTTGAAAATTGCAAGGTTTTGACAGGCATATTCAGTATATTATTGGACAAGTCAATATGCCATATATATGTCAGGGTATAGATAACATTTCTGGAACTCAGTATACTTAGTATATAATTTCAGACATGAAATAGAAAAGCCACAATATTTCTGTTCTTTAGTTTTATTTATTTATTTTTAATTTTTTATTTATTACTTAATTCTGAAGGTTTGGAGACTGAAACCAGAGCCCCCACATGTAAGGCAGATTCTATACCACTTAGCTACCTCACCAGCTCAACACTGACTTTCCTTAATACCTACCAATGATAAGTTTTTAGAAGTGTTTGAGGAATGTAATAGAGTGCATTTTACCTACTCTTCCTAGTTATTTTATTATCATCCTAATATGTGTTTTAGGATGAGGTGTACCCAGCTTTCTGGTGAAGTAGTAGGTTAGTAGGAATGAGAGACAAGAAAAAACAATCTGTTTTCTCACACTTTCCTTATTTCCTTCTTTTTAAGAACTTAATTACTGCAACCTTTAAGTGCATTTTTCCTCATCCTATCATTCTTTTTAAAATTACTTTATTTGTTTTTATTTCATGTGTATGAGTATATTGCCTACCTGTATGTATTGTCCACTCTAGTGGGCAAGGATATGTATGTATGTAAGTGCACCAGTCTTGTGCAATGCCCAGGGAGCTCAGAAGCCAGCGCAGGATCCCCTGGAACTGGATTTCGTTACAGACAGTTGTTATTTGCCATGTGGGTGCTGGGACTCAAACCTGGGTCGTCTGCAAGAGCAGCCAGTGCTCTTAACCCCTGAGCTATCTCTCCAGTCCTTTCATCCTCGTCTATTATTTAAAATTTTTGTATTGAGTTTTTGTGTATCTCATACACAATATCTTAATTATCTTTAAGCCCTTTTCCTTATCAGCACCCTCCCATAGTGCCCCCCATCCACTGGAATTGATGCATTTTTTTATCAAGTCATGTCAGTATCATCCTTATCTATAATGTAGAATCTAGATCTGCCAAACCGTTAAATGAATGTCTAAGCCTTGAAAGTATTAGAAAGAACACTGAGGAACTCCTTCAGGACACTCTAGTGGGCAAGGATATTTTGAGAGCAGTGCCACTAAATCCCAGGAAGCCAAAGCAGAGCTAGAATGGGGTCATATTAAACTACAAAGCTTCTGCACAGAAAAAGAAGCAATTAGAGTGAATCTGTGGAATAGGAGAAATATTTGTAAATTTCTAACAAAATTATTCATTCAGCAAACTTTAAAGATTTCCAATATTCAATAGCAAAACCACAATTCTACTTTTAAAATTAGCGAGTTTGATGCCACCTCTGCCACAGGCTCACATGAACAAGACTCCAGTGGCCAGGACTCATGTCAGTTCAATTAAACAAGAGCCCAAAGGAGAAGTGAAAAATAGGTGGCAGGCCAGCACTAGATTGAGAACTATTTTAGACTGATTAGTGCTGAGCGAGGGAGCATATGACCACTGGAAGGGCTGACTAGACTCCAGTGGACACTTTTACACTGAAGGACATTTGGGTACAAACGCCTGAACGAGTAGGACTCCATGAACACCTATGGCAGAGTGCATAAGTTTCGGTGGGAGGAAGGGGGAGACATGGATAGGGGAGGGGGTCTGGATTTGCCTGGGAAATGTCGCGTGAAGTTTTATAAAGCTCAATAACAGAAAAAGAAAAAAAATAGTGAGCTTAAGTTATTACACAATACTGATCAAACTGCTTTGTTGCATCTTGTTCTGCGGATGAAGCTCGTCTTTTGCTGAAGCTACTCAGTTTCCGAACCCTCGCACCAGTTCTTAGCCCTCACTTCATAAAGCTTCTCAAATCTCTTCTTTCTTGGACCACTTGATTTGACCCTCACTCTGTGGTCTACAGAACGAATCTTCTGTTCCAGGACTTAGAACAAAACACTGGAATCACTGTTTAGTGCTACATATTTTTGTCATTTCTCACCTTACATAAATAATCACAGTATGCCTACAAAAACTAGATCCAAGAGGGAAGTGTGGGCTCTGCATCTGAAATAATATTTTATCCATGTTTATAGTCACTCATTCACTGATTTAAATATATTTTCCGAATACTTATTTTATCCAAGGTATTAAGTGAGGAACTTAGGGAGGTGAATATATACACACAGACACACACACAGGGATAAATTATCATTGGTCTTTGTCATCTGCACTGTATTTCTAGCACTTTGACCTCTAGGTGTTTAAAATAATATGATTAACTGAATGTTTGGAACTATGACTCGGTGAAAAATCAATGTCTCAACTGCAGGAAATACAGTAAATAGGTAACGTAATAAAGTTGAGATAATAGCTAGATGCCTGCTACTCTGAGAGGAGAGCAGAGACGGTGAACAGAGAGCAAAACAGGAAAGAAAAAGCTGGTTAGATGGCGTAGGAACATGAGGACTGTTTTACTGAGGATGACCCTAACAACTTGTGCAAATGTTGTATGTATGTATGTAATTCTCTCTAAAGATAATTTTATCTTTAGATAAATATAACTAAAAGAAACATAAAAATGTTTCTTTTAGTTATATTTGGTATGTACAATGTATCATACATTTCTCCCCATGACTATAAACCAAATCATTCACCCTTTAAGAAGAGATATGAGTTATTATTTCCTCTGTCTTATGAGCTTATGAAAGTATCCATCTGTAAGTTTGAGCTCTAAGGCTGTACAAACTCACAAAGGTGAGAGGAAATCAACAGAAAAATGAATGCATAGCTAAGCCTGATCCTTACAAATAAGCAATATCTGATATTTTCTACTAATCTTAGGATTTGAATGTCTGAAGTTCAAGATCTATTTGATCCTTACTCAGCTGATTCTAAATTAATTATGCAATTCCTCTCTCTTCTCTACAGTATGCTGTCTGGCAGGTCCTCTGGGTGACATGGAATGTGTTTGTTATCTGCTTCTATATGGAGGCTGGGGATCTCTCAAAGGTAATTTACCATCTTGTTTTCCTGAACCTTCAGTCCTGTGCTAACGACTATCTTCCTAAATAAGGCCAAGTCTCACCCTGCATCTGTCTCCTAGACGCAGTGTGAAGGTAATTTCAAGGGTGTTCTTATTTTTTTTACCTCTTTATTCTTATCAAATATATGTTTGGTACATCACAAAAAATGTGTTTTGTGGTGTTCAGCAAAACTAGTCTGAGATATAAATTATGATACTGAGCATGTAATGTACTTTTATAAAACTGATGAGAGATTTCTAAGGCTGTGGAGACTATTTTCAGAGACAAATGTCTTTCAAGATTTTTGAAATCACTTCATTTTCTTTGTATTTACTGAACATTTTTCTGATTGAAACCAAATTATAATATAGTAATTCAGACAATACATAATTGAGTAAGATTATTATGAGGTATAATTTATTACAGAAATGAATAAAATACATTATTTTAGCATAATCAAGAAGATTTAAAACACTTGCATTTCTATTTTATAATTTATTTTATATGTATGAGTGTTATGCCTGGATGTATGTAAGTATACCCATGTAGTGCAATGCCCATGGAGGTTAGAAGAGGGCATTGGATCCCCTGAACCTGGAGTTATGGATGATGGTTAGCTTCCATGTGGGTGCTAGGAATCAAATGTGGGTCCTCTGAAAGCGAAGCCAGTGCTCTTAACTGCTGAGCCATCTCTCCAACCCTGCTTTATTTTTCTTCCTTTGGATTTAGTGTGTGTGTGTGTGTGTGTGTGTGTGCGTGTGCCTGTGTCTCTGTTCTATTTTTAACCTGAACTCACTCTCTAAAAATATGAGCTATTATGCCTGGATGTATGTAAGTATACCCATGTAGTGCAATGCCCATGGAGGTTAGAAGAGGGCATTGGATCCCCTGAACCTGGAGTTATGGATGATGGTTAGCTTCCATGTGGGTGCTAGGAATCAAATGTGGGTCCTCTGAAAGCGAAGCCAGTGCTCTTAACTGCTGAGCCATCTCTCCAACCCTGCTTTATTTTTCTTCCTTTGGATTTAGTGTGTGTGTGTGTGTGTGTGTGTGTGTGTGTGTGTGTGTGTGTGTGCGTGCGCCTGCCTCACTGTTCTATTTTTAACATGAAATCACTCACCAATGATATAATGCAGTCTGCAGATTTTTGAAGCCACAATCAATCCACTTATTGGATGATACTTAAGAGAGAATGGGTCAAGTAAGGTAATCCATTTAAGGTATAGTAAATCTTGATTCTGGAAGGAATTTCCAACTTGTACTTCTGGCTAATGCTGAAAGACAGAGATTGTAAAGTGTTCTTTTATTTATCCCTATTAGATTAGTATACCTCTGAAAGAGGCTGAAATCTTTAATCCAAGGTCAGGAAGAAAAAAGTTCTCTGGAAACCACTTTCGCAAATGTATACATTTTGTCAGGGTGGAGAAGTAGATCTGGCCATATATGGAAGGGGCACAAAACACTCAGCATGTTTAGTAGTTTTCATGCATTATTTAATCATAAGGTATGAATTCATATCAAACTAAAATTTTCTGATTTATTTTAGTGCAATGAGGAAAGACAAAAAGTAGGGTAAGAGTGTGACATCACGTGAGGGGGGGAATCAGAGCTTTTGTGACACTTGATGGTCATATTTTTGGCCAGTCCTCACTATGGCCTGCTCAGTCTCATGGCGATGACATTTCTATGCTTCTTCCAGAGTGTCATCCTGTGCACTATGGAGGCACACAGCATATTTATAAAGGTGCTGTGACCAATGGGAAAAAATTGTTCAGGCTTCTCTAGGACAAATACACATGGGATTGCTGCCTAAAACTAACATTTGCCTTTGTGTGAAAAGCAGGCACGTCTTCCCAAGGACCTGAATTACTTTCCCTATTTATACATCTCTGCTGCTCTGTAATCCACTTTCTTCAAAGAAATTCCACACTACAATGACTTTTAATGATATTTTCTATGTTGAATAATCACCTTAAAATTGTACAGCAGGTGTTCAGGCTTATTGACTGAGTGAAATGATTCGGCAGATCAGAGAGTTAGTTTAATATGAAAGCACAGGCAGAGAGGTTGGAGCCAAGCTGGCTGCACAAATGTTCTGTCGTTGTACTGAATTTGCCGTGTGCTGACTGCAGAGACAAAATAAAGCTTGGGATCTCATGAACTTGAACAAGATCACTGAAACCACAGTTAGGGCATGTCCTAAAGCCGTGTAGCTCAGGTGAGTTACAGTGCAAAGGACTGAGAATTCTTATACTCATAGGCAGGTATTGGTTATCCATTAGCCACGAAAAAATGAAAAGTATTTGCTTTTCATTCTGCTTATTAAGGTTAGATTGAAGAAGGCATGAAAATTTAATAATTTCCTTTTAACAAATAATCCATAATAAAAATCATAAAGAGTAAAGTTACAGAGGAATGTGTTCTCCGTTAATTATCTTCTCTAATCAGAGGATTTGAAAACGGTATGTATATATCATTTAATTCTTTAGTTGTGACTGGCTAACAGTATGCAAAGAATACTTTGCCAGGAGGAAGCAATGATGATTGAAAAACATACGATGCATGAAAAATAAAAAGGGTGGAAACTGCTAATTATAAGCAGATTTTTTAAAATTATGAACTATGCTGTTTCAACCTTCTTTGTAAAAATATTTTTTATTATTTCTATTTATTTGTATGAGTGTACTGCCTACATGTATGTATGTAAGCGTACCCATGTTGCACAATGCCTGCAGAGGTCAGAAGAGGGTGTCGGATTCCCTGGAACTGGAGTTATAAATAATTGTTAGCCACCATGTGGATGCTGGGAACTGAACACGGGTCCTCTGGAAGAGTGGCCCAGTGCTCTTAACTGCTGAGCCATCTCTCTAGTCTGTTTTAATCTTCTAAAAATAGCTGTGCATTTCTGAAAGACATGTATTTTTGAAAATACGTAATTGGTTAATGAAAAATATTGACAATAAATTATAAAATTTAGAGGCAAATTTTAGTTGCCTATTTACTACTGATTGAATAATAAGTATTTATAAATTACTTATACTTGTGTTAAAACTAAATATCACTAAATACCATGTAATATGTTCTTCCTTTAGTTGATATTTTAATAGGTGTCCTGTTATGGAAATCAAGAGGAAATTAGTTTCCAATGCAAAGTTTCTGGTACCTTTGTTTGCAGTTGTCTTTGGGCAATAAATGTGATGTAAACCATTCAATTAGTCATTTTGAGAAGTCTCCCTATAAATAGTTTTGTTATTTCATGGCAATCATGATGCTCATACTCTATTTCAAATAGAAGACAAAGCTCTTTCTGGCTATTTAATAATGTTATTAAATCAGGCATGATGCACACCTGTGGCCTCTGCTACTGTGGAGGCTATGATGGAAGAATGGCAGGTGCAAGATTTACTTGACTAAAGTGCCTGTCCCCCAAGGTTTGCCAAGGCTATGCAGTGATTTCAAGGCCAAAGACCCTGCCTCAATATAAAAACCATAAAAATAAAATGGGATTGTAACTCAGTGGCAAAATGCTTTCCTAACCTGCTCTGGATTCAATACTCACTTTGAAACAATGAAAGATATACAGCATAGAAAATTTTAAGTTTAGAGTACATAATAGAATTAAAGCACATGCGTTATGGTATTTCATGTATTCATTTTGTCTTGGGGAAAAGAAAACAGGATGTTTTCATAGTAATACACTGGAAAGACCTTATTCATTTCAAATTCTGCACAAATAAAATTATCAGAGGTGAAACAATTTAAGTTGAACTTAGAATTCAGGTTGAACTTGAGTGCTGCCACGTTTTCTCAAACAAAGATTTTGAGGTGTCATTTCCTGTTTTGGTAAAATATGGCAGATCCCTAGTAAATGGTATATCCTCTAATAGGAAAGAAAATAGTAATAGACCATGCAGAAAAAATAAGGATTGCTTTATTGCTAGAACAGAAGAATTTGCTTTTATTTATGCCTCTAAGATTAGGGATCCTGGTTTGTATCTGTCAGAATTCATTATACATTGGAAATTTAGCTAGTTAAACATAGTTCAAATCGCTTAATTATATTTAATGATGTATATATGTTTCAGAAATGCATTTGAAAGCAACTTCTAGATTGCTGTCACATTTTAATGATTTGAATAATATTTTCCTGAAATCTAGAAGTAAATTATTTTTAAAAGATGTCATATGAAACAACAGGGTGAGAATCTGTCTTGTTTAAGCTTTAGGGAATAAAACCATTCTCTTGTGAATTTAAGAGACAAGAAGAAGATAAAATCTGTCATACACTGTAGGCTAAAAGGAACACAACCTCAAAATCAATTGTGAGTAGTAGGCAGAATAAAGCTCTATTACAAAAATCACAGTTTTCTTAGTTCTATAGCAAGTGAATTATTTATTCATAGTGGAATCCAATATTTTTGTTCTTCAATGAAATTGATACTTTTTATCAAAGTTGGCTTTCAGGGCCTAATATGTATAAACTAATATGGAGAGAAATCTGTTATTATTATTTTACTTAAATTAATGTTTTTGTCAAAAGTAATAATTTCTGTGACATTCTATGTGAACAAAGGATACCTATGGTAATAAATGTTAATTATTAAATCAGGCATGATGAACACCTGTGGTCTCAGCTACTGTGGAGGCTAAAACAGAGGAATGGCAGGTGCAAGATTAGCTTGGCTAAAGTGCCTGTCCCCCAAGGTTTGCCAGGGCTATGCAATGATTTCAAGACCACAGACTCTGCCTCAATGTAGGAAAATAAAAATGGGATGGGGTTGTAACTCAATGGTGGGAGGCTTTTCTAGCCTGCTCTGGATTCAGTACTCACTACAACCAAAAATACTAATTTTTACAAGTATCAACAAGATAATATATTTGCTCCATAGGTTTGTTTGTTTGTTTTTAAGTTTTACTTCCCTTGCTATAAAATCAGTATTGTCTAAGAAAGCACAATGAGCTTCTACTAACCAATTAGAAAAGTAG